ACTTTTAAAATAATTGTAATGAGTCGCTCACAGTTGTCATAGAAACGAAACAGAAAAAAGGTTAAGATGTACACATGTGTTCTCCAAGGTCTAGGTCAAAGGGTCAAAGTTCTTCGTGTCCAATAAAAGTTCTTTTCACAAGGATTACATATTTGAAATACGAAAGCCCTAGCCCTTACCGTTCAAACGTAAGGTACTATGTTCAAGACGACCCCCCCCCCCTTTTGAAGCGCACTGCCAGTTAGAATACACATATCTAACATATACAACTTACAAGTAACGTTTTAAAAGTTTCATTCATAAAATTCAGTTCTCCTGATGTGATTTCATAGTTTGCCAACCTTCATTCTTCTTCTGTCTTGTCTCTAGATTTTATAATTATTTTATTTTATCTATATATAAAATAACGATTGTCAACTGCATTTATTAGCATTTCGCATTTTTTTTTGTATATCTATTACTTGTATATTATTAATTTCATTAGATAGTGCAAGTATAAATTAGAAAATTGGTACGTTATTTCCATAGTTTTTATTCATTCATAAATCCTAGGATCCGCTCCTACAGGTGCGCTAAGCCTTGATCACTACTGTAAACAAAACATTCATCTCGCCGAAAATGTTCACGATTCCGCTAAACTGAGAAAGTTTACACATGATTTATCATCTCATAAGAAACATCAGCCCTGTACAATGCAGAAATGCTCGAATTGAAGGTGGCATGTCAGATTCGTTTTCCGGCAGAACCTCTAAAAATGAAAGTGAAATTTCAGAGTTCTCACTGGCGTTATAATACACAAAATAATTCGGCTGATCTTCTTAAAAAATTACATTTGCCAAGCTTTATTGGTAGGAAAGATACTGCCAATTAACAAGTATGAGGCTCAGTTCAGTACATCTGCCCAATTTCTTTTATGCAAGTCTGCAAATTTAGGAACTTGTAATTTTTTCCTGCACTACTTTCTTCTCCTACCGATTCTAAAAATAAAATGGGATGTACCCAATTAAGGTCTTCCGTTTCCAACGGAAAGGACTGATACGACTCGATGGTTGTCCAAGCTTAGCTAATGGACCATTGTTTTAGTGATGATAAAAATGAAAGTCTTGTCCAGTACGGGGCGACATATGCTATTGCTTGCAATAGCAGACTTTCTAGTTATTAAAAACTACTGGGCCGATTTTCATGAAACTTTCATATCTGATAGGTACTAATCTGAACCTTATTGGAAATTTTTTTTTGACGTCGTCACTTCCGGTCGTGAGATATCGCCAATTTTCTAATTTTAAAATGCAATTTTGTCTTGATTACTTAGCGAAAACTGCTTAAGATATGAAGTGAAGATTAATTGGAGATGATAGTTCATGATCTCTAGCGTTGCAGAATTGCCTTTTCGTGCGTCGTCAGTACTTCCCTTTTCTTTTTGATATATTTTGGAAGCGAATTTTGAAAATGAAAACGCAAATCAACTTTTCTTTTTTAATATTTTTGTTTTTGATTTGAATAGAGACCCTCTTTGCAGAAGCGAAATATGTAATTTGTTTGAAAATCAAAATAATGAGCCATTTTTGAGATATTTGCATTTGAAAACGAGTTGAAGCGGCGATCCCAATGGCTAAATGGTTGAAAGAGAATCTCTAAATAAGTTGTTGAACAAAAAATGATTGAAAAAGGGGCTGGGCACTCAAATTAAGGGCCAAGAGGGGCCAAAAGTCTTTAATCGATAACTCTTTAGCAGTCGATATTTTGTTATACATTACAGATGCAAAAATTTTATCTCAACAATTTACAACAATATATTATGATTTAAATGTCATATCTTGCGTAAAAAAGGGTCCAAAAGGGGCCAGAATGTCAAATCTTTGATGCTTTATATCTCAAAAGTGGGAAATATTTTGATAAGCAATATTGAACAAAAGATGTTCAAAATAATGTTCTAACAATAACAATATGCATACCTTTGAATTTTTGTAATACGGCCCCTTTAAGGACTTGTAAGGGTTGGCCCCTTAATATTTCTTTTACAAAAAACTCCAAAACGAAAAAGAAATCTCTGAATAAGTTGTTGAACAAAAAATCTTCAAAATCCAAGACCTTTCATTTGATATCAAGAAAAAAGGGCTGACCCCTCAAATTAGGGGCCATGAGGGGCCAAAAGTCGAATTTTTTATAACTCTCTAATGATCAATATTTTGTTATACATTACTGAAGCAAAATCATTTATTTTAACAATTTGCAACAATATATGATAAATTTTGATCAATATGTTACGTAATTAGGGGTCAAGAAGGGGCCGGAATATCAAATTTTTGACGCTTTATATCTCAAAAACGAGATATTTTGTTAAGCAATATTGAACAAAAGATTGGTCAGAATAATGTTTAAACAATATGCATACTTTGAATTTTTGTAAAACGGCCCCATTAAGGACTTCAGCGGAAGACCCTTCTATTATTCTTATGTTTCTTTTTCACTTTTCTTATTAGCCAAAATCTCTGTCTCCAGCGTGAAGATCCAGATTAAAGATTACCTTTCATTTTTCAATTTAATATAAAAGCCATATCTGACCCGTAATAATTAGCGGCCAAAATGCTATTTTTTGTCATGCTTTATTCTTATGTTTCTTTTTCAAAGATCATTATTATTGTTTACATTACTGAACAAAAGTCATTTATTTTAACGAATTTGTCAAAATCTCATTTTCTCTATTTTATTATTATTATTATTATTCTTCCAACCGATTTTGTGCACGCGATTTCTCAGAAACGGCTCGGCCGATTTAAATAAAATTTTCATATGTAATAGCTAATCAATCGATCTTGATAGGTTTTTAAGCGACTTTATGACGTCACTTCCGGTCGTGAGATATCGGGAATTTTCTGATTTTAAAATGCAATTTTGTCTTGATTTAGTAGCGAAAACTGCTTAAGATATGAACTAAAGATTAATTGGATATGATAGTTCTTGATTTATAGCGTTGCAGAATCGCCTTTTCGTGCGCCGTCAGTACTTCCGGTCGATACCGGAAGCGATTTTAAAAAACGCAATTTTTCAACTTTTCTTTTTTAATATTCTTGTTTTTGATTTGAATAGAGACCCTTTTGCAGAAGCGAAATATGTAATTTGTTTGAAAATCGAAAAAGCCAATCCTGAGATATTTGCATTTGAAAACGCGAAGCGGCGATCCCAATGGCTAAATGGTTAGCGTGTTGGATTGTCACGCGGGCGACCCGGGTTCGAATCCCCATATGACCAAAAAATTTTATCATTTTTTCTGGTCGAATTTTCGATATTATTTAATTTTAGACCATTTTGAACAGTATGTTATAAACTTTTAAGCATATCTTGCGTAATTAGGGGTCACGAAGGGCCAGAATGCTAAATCTTTGACGCTTTATATCTCGAAAAGGGGGGATATTTTGATAAGCAATATTGAACAAAAGATGGTCAGAACTATGTTCTTAACAATATGCATACTTTGAATTTTTGTAAAACGGCCCAATTCAACGGAAGACCTACTCGTTGCTCGCAACGAGATTAAGGACTCGTAAGAGTGGCCCCTAAATATTTCAATTTAGTATATCTCCATAACGAGTAGAAATCTCTGAATAAGTGTTGAACAAAAAATCTTTAAAATCATAAGACCTTTCATTTGATATCAAGAAAAAGGGGCTGACTCCTCAAATTAGGGGCTCAGAGGGGCCAGAAGTCTTTCATCTTTAACTCTTTAATTATCAATATTTTTTGAAACATTACAGAAGCAAAGATGTTAATATTAACGATTTGCAACAATATAGGATAAAATTGTGATCATATGTTACGTAATTAGGGGTCACAAGGGGCCAGAATGCTCAATCTTTGACGCTTCATATCTCGAAAAGGGGGCAAATTTTGATAAGCAATATTGAACAAAAGATGGTCAGAACTATGTTCTTAACAATATGCATACTTGAATTTTTGTAAAACAGCCCCATTAAGGACTCGTAAGAGTGGCCCCTAAATATTTCAATTTAGTATATCTCCATAACGAGTAGAAATCTCTGAATAAGTGTTGAACAAAAAATCTTTAAAATCATAAGACCTTTCATTTGATATCAAGAAAAAGGGGCTGACTCCTCAAATTAGGGGCTCAGAGGGGCCAGAAGTCTTTCATCTTTAACTCTTTAATGATCAATATTTTGTGAAACATTACAGAAGCAAAGATGTTCATATTAACGATTTGCAACAATCTATTATAAAATTGTGATCATATGTTACGTAATTAGGGGTCACAAGGGGCCAGAATGCTCAATCTTTGACGCTTCATATCTCGAAAAGGGGGCAAATTTTGATAAGCAATATTGAACAAAAGATGGTCAGAATAATGTTTTAAACAATATGCATACTTTGAATTTTTGTAAAATGGCCCCATTAAGGACTTGTAGGGATGGCCCCTAAATATTTCCGTTTAGCATATCTCCACAACGAATAGAAATCTCTGAATAAGTGTTGAACAAAAAATCTTCAAAATCATAAGAACTTTCATTTGATATCAAGAAAAAGGGGCTGACCCCTCAACTTAGGGGCTCAGAGGGGCCAAAAGTCTTTTGTCTATAACTCTCTAATGATCAATATTCTGTTATACATTACTGAAGCAAAAGTATTTATCTTAACGATTTGCAACAATATATGATACAATTTTGATCATATGTTACGTAATTAGGGGTCAGAAGGGGCCAGAATATCAAATATTTGATGCTTTATATCTCGAAAATGGGGAATATTTTGATAAGCAATATTGAACAAAAGATGGCCAGAATAATGTTCTAAACAATATGCATACTTTGAATTTTTGTAAAACGGACCCATTAAGGACTTGTAGGAGTGGCCCTTAAATATTTCCGTTTAGCATATCTCTCATAAGATTTATTCTAACTTAATATATTTGGATTTTTTTAAAAATTAACTTAAATTTAAGTATATATATAGTTTCTTTTTGATTTGTAAAAAACGACTGTTTCTAGAACTAAGTCTGAGTCTGGCGACAGAAAAAGAAGAAAATAAACTTCTTCAGGAACAGTTATCAGCCATAGAGGTAAAGCTTACTATAGACTAATAGTGTACCAATTGAAAACATTTATGATAAAGGTCTGAGGTTCCTCAAACAAATTATGTACATCATTTCATGGTGTCTTGAAAATGGTGGAAAGAATTTCCTTATTTTAGACTTTATGGTTTTATTTAAATATTTAGAAATCATCAAAAGAAAAAATCCAAAATCTACAGGAAGAGGTGGAGAAAAGTGCAGACAAACTAAAGAAGAAACAGGAAAGGTAACTGTGTTATTGTAAAAATTATCTTCTTTTGTATGTCAAGAGAGGTAACTCTGTTCTATCTTATTCAAAAAACAGATCTACAAGAAAATACTGAAAAATTTGCCACTGTCATACACTGTATGCAGCTTCAAATATTTTCTAATGAGAATTACTTTATTTACATTTTAGTTACTTACAGTTACATGCAGAAAAAGAAAGTGTGTTTACCGAGTTGAGGTTAGAATTGTAAACTTATTTTAAAAGTTTTAAAGTATAAAAATAAAACTATACATGATTAAAAAAAATGTTAATTTAAAAATTAATAGCATATTTCTTAATGCAATATAATTTTTTTTCTCGGTGTAGAATTTTTACTTTATGGTATCTTGAATATAAGACATAGATTCTCAAAACAAAAATAAATTTTTATACCACCCGCAAACGAAGTTTGGGGGGGTATATAGGAATCACCTTGTCGTCTGTCTGTCTAGCTGTCCGTCTGTCTGTGCAAACGTGTCCGGTCCATATCTTTCTTATGGAGGGACGTTAGAATCTACTACTCCACACAAAGATTGCCCATGACCTAAGGGTGTGTCATGACCTTGACCCAAGGTCATTTGGGGAAGGTCAAGGTCACCGGAAGAAAAAGTTCATAATTCGTGTCCGGTCCATATCTTTCTTATGGAGGGACTTGGTAGGTTCTACTATTTCACACAAAGATTGCCCATGACCTAAGGGTGTGTCATGACTTTGACCCAAGGTCATTTGGGGAAGGTCAAGGTCACTGGAAGAAAAAGTTCATAATTCGTGTCCGGACCATATCTTTCTTATAGATAAACTTGGTATGTTCTCATTTCACACAAAGATTGCCCATGACCCAAGGGTGTGTCATGACTTTGACCCAAGGTCATTCGGTGAAGTTCAAGGTCACTGGAAGAAAAAGTTCATAATTCGTGTCCGGTCCATATCTTTCTTATGGATAAACTTGTTAGGTTCTCATTTCACACAAAGATTACCCATAACCCAAGGGTGTGTCGTGACCTTGACCCAAGTATATTCGGGGAAGTTCAAGGTCACTGGAAGAAAAAGTTCATAATTCGTGTCCGGTCCACATCTTTCTTATGGATAATCTTGGTAGGTTCTCATTTCACGCAAAGATTGCCCATGACCCAAGGGTGTGTCATGACCTTGACCCAAGGTCATTTGGGGAGTTTCAAGGTCACTGGAAGAAAAATTTCATAATTCATGTGTGATACATATCTTTATTATGGAAAAACTTGCTTCTGAAAAAACCTAGCGGGGGGTATTTTGTCCCGTTTGGACAGTTCTAGTTAAAATTATTTTTTCCAAAATATAGTAAAAAGTTAGAGGACGTTCAGGGTGGTCGTGACAGGGACCAGAAATATTACACAGACCAGATCAGTAAATTACAGCAGGAGTTAGAGAAGGGCAAGAAGGTAATATAATGCCCTTAAATATTCTCTGTCTGTCATGAGAGAAATCCGGAAATAGTCAGATTAGATACTTGTACATTTTATTTCAGTCAGAAAAACTACAGAGCTATTTATCCATAAAGGTCTATTCAGTATATCTATAATTAAATAGAAAACAAGCTAAAAGAGAAGTCCTGTATTTTACTTTCTGAAAATACTTGTCTTACAAAAAAAAACTATTTTTTGGCAATTTGTATAAGTGATAAAATATTTCAGCGGTCGAAATTAAATCAAAAAAAGGTACAGTAGTTTTTTCAGAAGTTTTGTAGACAGGCCAATATATGTGCTAGTGAAGTTAGATTTATACATTAGTGAGATATAATTATGCTAGTATTCATCAAATAAAGGTAAATAATATTTAAACCATGTCACAAAAAGAAATTTATTCACATATACAGGTACATGTCAAACAAGTATTTGAATGACTATTGAATTTTCAGTCGTATGAAGGTTTTAGTTGAAGGAAGAATTGTCTTATCTAAGATAATTGTTACTTTTGTTAAACTTTTATAAATCATATTATATTCAAAATTAGATATTGTTTAATTTTTAAAATTATAGAAAATCTAGTGATACAGAATTGAAATAACGAGGACATTAAAAAAGTTAAGTGGATAACCAGAATAATCATTTTGTCATTATAGGCAGGGAATTCCCTGGTCCCCAAGTTTTAGGGACAACCTTGATTTTGTATACAATGAAAACTTATTTGAGCATGGTTGGAAAATGAGAATTTTCTGAAAAAAACTTAATTATAGCCCTTTCAATAAGTGCATGAAATTGATGAATAATTTTTAATGTGTGAAATGATGTTGAAGTTTCTGAGAAACTAAAAATTAATGTTTTTTGCCTAATGCATTTAAAAGAATACAGTATGGTGAAAAAAATCTTGTAGTTCATAGTTTTTCACTTTTTAAAAAATAATATTCTTTTTTTTGTCTAGTCTTACCAAGAGCTAGAAGACCAAGCCAGTAAACAGAAAACTCAGTCAGAACAAACCATAAACTCACTACAACAACAGGTCAGTAAACAGAAAACTCAGTCAGAACAAACCATAAACTCACTCCAACAACAGGTCTGTAAACAGAAAACAAACCATAACCTCACTACAACAACAGGTCAGTCAACAGAAAACTCAGTCAGAACAAACCATAACCTCACTACAACAACAGGTCAGTAAACAGAACTTTCAGTCAGAACAAACCATAAACTCACTACAACAACAAGTCAGTAAACAGAACACTCAGTCAGAACAAACCATAAACTCACTCCAACAACAGGTCAGTAAACAGAAAACTCAGTCAGAACAAACCATAAACTCACTACAACAACAGGTCAGTAAACAGAAAACTCAGTCAGAACAAACCATAAACTCACTACAACAACAGGTCAGTAAACAGAAAACTCAGTCAGAACAAACCATAAACTCACTCCAACAACAGGTCAGTAAACAGAACACTCATTCAGAACAAACCATAAACTCACTCCAACAACAGGTCAGTAAACAGAACACTCAGTCAGAACAAACCATAAACTCACTACAACAACAGGTCAGTAAACAGAAAACTTAGTCAGAACAAACCATAAACTCACTACAACAACAGGTCAGTAAACAGAAAACTCAGTCAGAACAAACCATAAACTCAATCTAACAACAGGTCAGTAAACAGAAAACTCAGTCAGAACAAACCATAAACTCACTCCAACAACAGGTCAGTAAACAGAAAACTCAGTCAGAACAAACCATAAACTCACTACAACAACAGGTCAGTAAACAGAAAACTCAGTCAGAACAAACCATAAACTCACTCCAACAACAGGTCAGTAAACAGAACACTCAGTCAGAACAAACCATAAACTCACTCCAACAAAAGGTCAGTAAACAGAACACTCAGTCAGAACAAACCATAAACTCACTCCAACAACAGGTCAGCAAACAGAACACTCAGTCAGAACAAACCATAAACTCACTACAACAACAGGTCAGTAAACAGAAAACTCAGTCAGAACAAACCATAAACTCCCTACAACAACAGGTCAGTAAAAAATAAAAACTCAGTCAGAACAAACCATAAGCTCACTCCAACAACAGGTCAGTAAACAGAAAACTCAGTCAGAACAAACCATAAACTCACTCCAACAACAGGTCAGCAAACAGAACACTCAGTCAGAACAAACCATAAACTCACTCCAACAACAGGTCAGTAAACAGAACACTCAGTCAGAACAAACCATAAACTCACTACAACAACAGGTCAGTAAACAGAACACTCAGTCAGAACAAACCATAAACTCACTACAACAACAGGTCAGTAAACAGAAAACTGGGTCAGAACAAACCATCACATCACTACAACAACAGGTCAGTAAACAGAACACTCAGTCAAAAAATCACTGGAACAAACCATAACCTCACTCCAACAACAGGTCTGGACAGAGCTGTTTACTCCAATTCTAATTTTTCTGACACATTGTTATTTAAGTGTTTGTACATTACTATTACTATCTTTTAATTGAAATATGATAATAATCCTCTCTAATTCTAAATGCAATATATAACTTGATCTATAAATTTATCTAATAGTACTATGTCTTCATATTTTTATACATTTTTGTGAACTTAAACAGGTCAGTGCTGCTAACATTGTTGAAAACCAACATGTGAAGGAACAGACAGAGAAATTACACCAACAGATATCACAACTCAAACAACAACTGCTGGGACTGACACAGGCCCAGGATGATCTCAAAGTACAGCTACAGGTGAGAAAGAGAGAGAGAGAGAGAGAGAGAGAGATTAGAGTACAGCTACAAGAGAGAGAGAGAGAGCAAGAGAGAGAGAGAAAGAAATGTACTTTTACACATCAGGTGGTATTTTGACTCTTCAAATATTTAAGGTTAGATACATTCCCTGAAAGATGAACAAATCTTATTTTGAATCTTGAATATCATTTTTAGCTCACCTAGACCAGAGGCTAAAGTGAGCTTTTCTGATCAAAATTTGTCCGTTGTTGTATCAATTTGTTCGTTGTCGTTGTTGTCGTTGTCGTCGTCGTAAACTTTTCACATTTTCATCTTCTTCTCAAGAACCACTGGGCCAATTTCAACCAAACTTGGCACAAAGTATCCTTGGGTGAAGAGGGAATTAAGTTTGTTGGATGAAGGGCCACGCCCTTTTCCAAGGGGAGATAATCATGAATTTGTTAAAAATTAATGGCATTTTTAAAAAATCTTCTTCTCCAGAACCGCTGGGCCAGGAAAGATGAAACTCATGTGAAAGCATCCTTAGGAAGTGTAGATTCAAGTTTGTTCAAATCATGACCCCTGGGGGAAGGGTGGGGCCAAAACGGCCGACCCAAATTTTACATAGGAATATATAGAAAAATCTTTAAAAATCTTCTTCTCCAGAACCACTGGGCCAGGAAAGATGAAACTCATGTGGAATCATCCTCAGGTAGGGTAGATTCAAGTTTGTTCAAATCATGACCCCCGGGGCAAGGGTGGGGCCAAAACGGCCGACCCAAATTTTACATAGGAATATATAGGAAAAATCTTTAAAAATCTTGTTCTCCAGAACCACTGGGCCAGGAAAGATGAAACTCATGTGGAATCATCCTCAGGTAGTGTAGATTCAAGTTTGTTCATATCATGACCCCCGGGGCAAGAATTGGGCCAAAATGGCCGACCCAAGTTTTACATAGGAATATTGGAAAAATCTTCAAAAATCTTCTCCAGAACCACTGGGCCAGGAAAGATGAAAACCATGTGGAATCATCCTCAGGTAGTGTAGATTCAAGTTTGTTCAAATCATGACCCCCGGGGCAAGGGTGGGGCCAAAATGGCCAAACCCCAAATTTTACATAGGAATATATAGGAAAAATCTTTAAAAACCTTCTTCTCCACAACCACTGGGCCAGGAAAGATGAAACTCATGTTGAATCATCCTCAGGTAGTGTAGATTCAAGTTTGTTCAAATCTTACCCCCGGGGGGAAAGGGGGGGGCCAAATGGCCACCCAAGTTTTACATAGGAATATATAGGAAAAATCTTTAAAAACCTTCTTCTCCACAACCACTGGGCCAGGAAAGATGAAACTCGTCTGGAGTCATCCTCAGGTAGTGT